TATTAAAAGCTGCAATTTGATTGGCTCTCTCTAAATACAAACCTCCCTAAATGCACATTTTAGGCTGGTCTGTACACGTTGCATTTATAGAGATTTGACTGTAGTAGAAAAGGTAGGGTATATAGTAAAATTTTGCATGAAATTTTTTTGATAAGATGCAGAAAATAGGTTTGTAGTCAAAATTTTGAGTTTTAGACAATTTTTTAAAAAAAACCAGCAGTTTGTTTTGTTTTCATATTACATCTGATCCGGTGTTGTGGTTGGTTTAAAACTACATGTTTGATAACATTTTATGTAGTTGCTATGTATAATCCAAGTATTGATTTATATTAGCCAATTATATTTTGAAATCTATATACAGAATTTTCTTTTTAGGTTTGTTTTGCTGAAAAATAAATGAATAAATAAATAATTTTTAGAATATTTTCTTTTGCATGATAATAAACCTTTAGTTAAAGATATATGTTTTTTTGCACAAGTTATGAAATTGGTTTTATTTGAAAAAACAATTATCTTTAATTAACAGATTAGTATTATATTTGTGAACAATTTTAAAAACAGAAGGTTGTTTACTTTAGTCTACTAGTCCTAGAAGAGCAATTATTTATATACATTTCTTAATATATATAGTGAGATTTTGTAATTTATATAGTATTGGTATGTTTTATCTAAAGTAACAACCTTGGTTTATTACAAGAATTTCTTTGGCTGTTTGTACTGGTTTCTAAAAAATGTCTAGTTAGCTATTAGTATTACAACTTGATAAGAGTATTAAAGTTATACTATTAATAGCTCTATTTGTATATGAGTATTTCAAGAAATAATTTAACTCAAGCATATGACATACAGGACTTGGAAAAAATTAGATATTTCAAGAAGTAATTTAACTTAAAATATATGATATACAGAACTTGAAAGAAACTTGAATAATTTTGACAATATCATATATAATATATGAAACTTGAAAGAAACTTGAATAATTTTAACAATATTCAATTCATCTAGACATAAGAACATAATTACTTATTAATTCACCTGAATATAAAGAACTTATAAAAACCTGAATGATTTCAGAAATTTTGATAAGTTGTCTATATATAGATTTATGCTAACTTGAATAAGGGTGTCTAAGTAGGCTTTCAAGTTTTTACTAGCTCTTGGCAAGTAAGTAAAACCAGTTACTGGCTCTTTGGCAAGTGTTAGTGCTATTACTAGCTTTTGGAAGTGTAGTTGGAATTGGAATTTTAAATAATAAGCAATATAATCTTTGACTATTTTAATGCTTTACTAATTGTTTATTATTAGTTTTTTTATATATATAGATAATAAATTATCGATCTAATTAAAAAACAGGTTTGAATCAAAATTACGATAAAAATTAGCCAGAACTACAGATAACTCTAATCTAATGCAGGCTAACTTGTCAGGATTTTGATCGACTTCATATTGATTTTATTAAAAATATATATGTATATTATAATTAAATTTAATAAAATGTTTTTGAATTACTCTGTTAAGTATTTTTTCAAATGTGTATATAAAAAAAAAATAGCTTAAGTGTAATTGTTAAAATATTAAAAAAGAAAGTCACTAATATAAGTATGAAGTACATAAATGTGTCAAATTGAAAAATAGCGCAGAATATATGCGCACTATTACTATTTATTCACTCACACGCTTGCACTCAAATTTACCCATTTATTATATTTGCCACCTTTCTATATTCTAAAAAAGCTGAGTAGAACTTTAAGTAACTTCCATTAACTTTCAACAGTTCACATCTTTAAGAAAAATAGTAAAGGGGTTAAATATTAAACTAAAACCATAAGTTTGAAACATTTTTATATATGTTGTGTCTCAGAACGATCTTTGTCTCAGGTGAAAACTGAGGCACCTCAGGTATTGATCTTTTGGCCGGAATTAACTGATCGACATTAATTGGCCTAATCTATAGCCTAATTCAGATCGATTGACACCTAGAGGCAAGAATTGATCTGAGACACAACATATATAAAGAAGTATAGTAATAAAAATAGTAGCGTAGTATAATTTTATATTCTTAAACTCATGCGTATATTTAATTATCAGACTTATCAAACTTATAAGTGCTTACATAGTGTCACCTAACAAAATTGTAGCGGTATCATCAATTCTGGACAATATTCGATAATACGTACTTACAATTGTAGTCGATATGACTTTCGGTTATTGTTAAATACAACTAGCAAACGTTACATATTACGGATGACTTCGTCACCCGCCTGCAATCTTTTAGTTTGAATTGTCACTTGATTTAATGTATATATTGATTAAAGCTACAATGAAGTATGGGATTTAATTTTGGTTTTTTTGTTCAAGATAATTTATTTATCAAATAATAAAATAATAAAAAAAATATAATGGTGATAGATATTATACTGATTAATCAAATATGAGCTTTTTTTAAATATCTAGACTATTTATAAGTATAAAATGTAAAATATGTAGAGATTTACCAGTATGAGAATCGCTGGATAACCCGTATAAGATTCATTAATTGGGTCATGAGATTATTGCTACCTGGGTACCCAAATAAATTTGACTCTAACCAATCCGATTGTATCAAAGAAAGCTTGTCGTATGTTCTTCGATCGCATTTCATTCTATGAATAATCTTATTAGCAACGTACCGTATGTAATTGAGAGCAGACAAATTATAGGTGCTTTCAAGCGCTAAATTAATAGATCGGTGCTCAATTCTTAATTAACAAGTATCAGCAAATCGAAAAGAAAGGGTAGAACTGGTTAGAGGTTACACTCCATGTGCTACAACAACTGCACCCAATCGATCTTAAAGAGAAAGGCATGGGTCGAAATCAGTGAAGAGATTAATCAACGTCAAATTATAGGAATCAATACATAATAGAAAAGCCACCGATCATAATTGATATATATATGAACCGACAAACCTCATTTTGACGCTTTTTCCCCTTCAACATAATACTCTTAAAATTTCTCGATTTAACTCTTCCCACCACGCATGATAGTCTCCCGATTCTTCCATTTTCCTATTTAACAGCCGGCCTGCTTTGAGCAAGTGGGAAACCACCGGCTGATACTATTTCTCGTTCGTTCTACTGTTACGATGATACTTGACACAATCTTAATTGCCAATTTCTGGGTGCATAGCATCGTTTCAGTCCGAATTACTTAGCTGACATTACTCACAATGTATTTGGCGGACTTCAAGTCCTTTGATTGGATTTATTTCCAGCACCCTTGGCTAGCCAGCATTTATCCAATCTTTTGGTCAGTCGTACCTATGCTTTTCAGTATTTTGGCAGGTCAAGTGAGTTCATCATCACAATTAAAAAAAAGATAGTCAAGGCTATCTTTTTTTATCATAGAGTAGGGTTAGGATTAGGGTTGTGCTGATTGTCTAAATTATAATATCTCATTTTGTGCTATGAATCTTTAGTAAAATTGCCGAGATTAGTCAGTAATCATAGTGCTTGTGCACGATCTCGATCACTAGCCAATTACATTAAAAAAGATGCTTGAGAACACCCTTAGCCCGGTAAGAATCGAGATTTTAATATAAGTCATTCAACTTCATGAATTTTTACCTCTACACAATATTTTTCATTTAATTTTTTTAAAGAACTTTTGGTCTCAAATATTTACTGCAAGCTCGTTGCATTATCAAATTAATAAAGACATGCATTTAGTGGATATCTCAGATGTGATGACTCCAAAGCTGGATATATCAACAGCTTGTAATAAAATAGAGACTTGAACAATGATGTTTAGATGTTCCCTCAGCATACCCACATTCGAACAAATGGTTGATTGATAACTAAGATTGCAGACCAACAAATCACACTACTAATTAGCACTATCATTCTTTCTAGTTTGAATAATAATCTTAAATACTTGCATATTAATATTTAATCCTTAGATAGCTAAGTGCGAAGGTGTTCTTGAACGAATTTATCTGAATAACTAATGATTTAATTTTTGTAATTATTTGGATAAAATTTTGATCTTAGATAATTAAATCGGTATTTCAGAATTTATAAAAATAGCTATAATTTAATTTGGGATTTTGGCATTAGTTGATTCAGTTTGGGATTTCGGTATCAATTTGTGATTTCAATATCAGTTTAGGATTTAGGTTTTAGTTTAGGGTTTATGGTTTGGGATTTAGATAAAAAATATTATATCCAAAACTAGTAAATACTATAATCTAAACCTAAAGAGTTTAGGAAAGTTTGGGTTTCGGGACCCATCTTTAATTCTGATTTCAGAACTTCTTACACTAATATATTGATATTAATTTAGTAATGTAAGTATCATATACTGTAATTTGGAACATTACGGAAAGTCCCAAACTAGTTTTGCAAATTTGGGATATGAAATGCCAAAACTATAACTTAGTTACGGCAAGTCCCAAACTAGTTTTGCCAATTTGGATATGGCATGTGCAAAATTATGGCAAAGTCCCAAAATAATTTTGACAATTCGGAATACGGCACGTGACGAACCTATTATATTTGGGTCCCATTACTAGTACATACATAATTTAATAGTTAGGATTAGAATTAAAAAATCTTGATATTAAGTCGTTATTTTCAATGAAACGTAATTTGTGATATCAAGATGACTACAATGCTTATTTGACTTTATTTAATAACGAAGCTAATATATCTTATATAATCATGTCTAATAGATTTTAAACTAATTAATTTGTAACTAGTTTACGAACTTGAAACACCTCAAATTCATCTACAGCAAACCATTCAGTTTCACCAATTTGTCTAAGTGGAATTTCATAATCTTCCTGCTTGCAATACCAGAATGAAGTATTTCTGTTGTTGCCCATTCTCAGATCACTACGACCAAACCCTGGGCCATTTTTTTCTGTACCATAATAATAAATTGCATTTTTTCTATTTTTTACACGGCTAATAATAGTTTCATCATTATTATTACTTTGTAAAGAGAAAATGAAACTATCAGCTGTCTGCGCAGGATAATCCATTCTAGATTCATTAGCTTTCCAGATAAGAGGGTTGTAACCGCCAAGTAACTCTTTCGCACCACTGACCTTTGCAACGACCACAGTACCATGTATGTTGTCACATAGTTCATGGAATGTATTCTCTGAAAATCTGTCCTTATTGCCCTGAAATAACAATATAAATTTATATGGAATATCTGGAATATCATAAGTTGTTGAATGTCGATCAATCCATGAAGAGATCACTGCTATGTGCTGTAACGTGATAATAGAATTGAATGAAAACCACGATGTCTGTCCAATGGGGGATTGCGTTTTCTCCCTTGTAGGAGGTAGTAGTAATACTGTATCAACGGGAGATTGTGGTTTCACCTTTTTATGAGGTAGTGGCAATACTTCATCAATGGGAGATTGCCTTTTCATTCTTTTAGGAGGTGGTAGTAATACCGCAGGCGAATTCGCATTTAAAATTGGAGTTACACATTTTCTTAGTATAACAGTCCACACGTTATTTTCAAGAATATTCTTATAAGGATAAACTTTTATCATAATATCTTCATTAGAAATGTGAGAGTATTTTATAAGAGGGAGGAGATTCCGAAGGGTAGTTTTAAGAGAATTAAAATTCGAATCCGTCCATAGCCCAACATTATTTGGTAGATTTGGAATTCTTGCTTTTCCCCACAAAATAATCTTATCCCAAACTTTAGATTCATCTGTTCGTAGGTCGTCACGTTTTAAAATTGAAATCAAAATATCTTCATGAAGAGTATCGAAATCGTCGGATTCAAAAATCAAGCTTGAATGTTTTATAAGTGCGTTATTGCAAAATTGGTTCAAATCTTTAAAATCATCATTTTGGAGAATCATTTGATACGCGTGAGAAAAACTCGATTTAAGCCAAGATTCTTTATGACGAATAATGTTAGCTTGAATATATTTAACCAATCGGTGGAACTTAAACTCATTGCTAATGGATAATAGTCCAAATTTATCTGAATTTGCCATTTTATCCAAAACAATCACACCACCGTAGATATATCTATATAGCAAGAATTAGTAAATAACATATATATATGCAAATTAATAATAAGCATGTAATAACTTACTTAATAATTTTATCAAATAAATTGGGTTCAATATGCGGTAATTTAATTTCTGTAATATTATTTTGCTTAGTTGCACTTTCTAATATTTGACGAAAATACAATGAACGTTGATATAAAATTGTTGTGTGTGCTTTGAAATGTCGGATATTTGGTGGACTCCCAACTTCAATTATTAAGTTATATTCATATTCACTTGCAAGAAGTTGAGTAAAATCTGTTGAAAGTTCTTGCAAAAACCTACGAGGCATTTTGTTTGGTAATTCAGAGATTCAAGAGTACACGGATTTAGATCTCATGTCGATCATTAACCATGTATTGTTTATATGTAGACATTTCAACAAAAATTTTCCGGAACGTGATTTTTATCCAATTAGATCGAAGGAGCAGGTGTAACGTAAAAATCAAAAATCGCGAAATTTTGTCTATGTAGTTACCTTCTGCGTTCTAACAAAAAAAAATTCCTTGCGAAATTTGGTATAAGCTATGCCCTTCCTTTGGCCTTAATCCTAACCTTAAAGACGTGGTTTATTGATTTAAATCTTTCGCGTAATTATATTGTTTTGATTTTTACGTTACACCTGATCCATCGATCTAATTGGTGAGCTCTATAGGGCTACGACGTCAGGATCAGGTGTAATGTAAAAATCGAATCTACTTTTTTAGGATCACCTTCCGCGGCCTAATTAAAAATATTCCTCGTGATGTTTTACTAATAAGCGCTATATTGTTCCTAACTATAACACGGTTTTCTTGGGTTTCATTTTACACGTAACTTTTTTACTTAGAAAACTAACTTCTGAATTACCTAGCTAATTACCAAATTACTTTAGTACGTTGTAGGGCTGAAGGCCTCCTTCAAATTTTTACGTCATAACCTTCGAATTCGTATTCACATTCATGGCTATGAATTTATTTCTGCGACAGCAAATTGTTAATTTATAAGACTTTATTATGATAAAAG